CACACACACACACACACACACACACACACACACACGCACACACACACACACACACACACACACACACACACTCAAACACACACGCGCGCGCGCGCAAACGCAAGCGCGTCCTTACGTTGTCATGCTTCCACGGTTCAAACGATTGCCCAGGTAAGGTCCTGAGAAACGAGTAAGAAGAGAAGTTATTGCAATTCAAAATCGGAGCTGATACTTATCTCTGATCCTGTCCAGCAGTGCTCCACAAATCCAATTTCCGGAATCCCAATCAATCTGACATTTTCTTTTCATTTTCTGCGACAAATGTTGACTGGCAGCTCCACAAGCACGGACACTGTGACACATGTGACATGCCCGGCGGCACACACTCAGACACGCATCACAATGCGTTTAGATTATCTCATTGTAAAGGTATCATGCTCCCTCGATGTAACACACACGCGCACACTCACTAGCTCCTCTCTCTCTCTCGCCTCCCAACCGACCCAGTCACTCAGCAACACTGTGTGCCCGGCTGCCTGTCTCGTTATCATAAAATGTCGTCCGTTGTGTCGACCCCGCAGATTCAAAGCTTCGGACGGCGACTGACGCTGTTCTGCCTATTTCGCCGGCAGGTCAGACCACTGCCTTGGAACAGCTGCATTTATGAGGATGGCATAAACCTCTCCTGGACCCTGGTCGGTCAGCCCCGAGAGAAGGGATTACGCCTGACGGGCATTCTCGTCTCTCCCAACGGAGTAGTACGCACAAGGTACACCAAAGTCGAACGGACGTCGGACGCCAAAACTGAACCCATGGGTGGAGCGGTGGACGAGCTGAAAAGCCAGTGGAATAATCAAATTTTCAAATCAGATAAGAGGTTGCTTTTCATGCACGTGCTGCTTACATGTTGCCTGATGCAGAGGTCACTCTTTCTCCTTCTTCTTCTTCTTCTTCTTCTTCTTCTTCTTCTTCTTCTTCTTCTTCTTCTTCTTTGTTGTCTTCGTCGTCGTAGTTATCCTAGTCTTTGTTGAGGCGGAAGAATAGCCATAGCCATGCTAGCTCGATACGTGGACACTGCAGCAGCTCACAGTTCAATAGTACTGCTGCTGCTGCTGCTGCTGCTGCTTCTGCTGCTGCTGCCACTGCTACTGCGACTATTACTGCGGCCTACCTCTAGGAAAAACTAATAACTGTTCGTAACTTGACTTGTATTTCAAATTGATGTTTTGTTAAAGGTTTTGTAAACGTCGCCACACTGGATTCCCTAAGACTTAGTGTAAAAAATATATGTTGTCAGACCTGATGTAATAGTCAGCTACCGCCCTCAAATGACGCCGAACTGAACTATCGCTCCCTCGTGAAGAAGAAATGCGAATTCCCTGCAATCTATCTGCGCTCCACATGATACTCATTATGTCATCATAGTGATGATCAATCACCTCCATATCATCCTCCCCGCCTAACTGTCAAACAGAAGGGAAAGCAGGAGTAAAGAAAGAAAGAAGAAGAAGAAGCGAACGAGGAGGAAGCAATGGCAGCAGCAGCAGGAACAGCAGCAGCAGCAGCGGCAGAAGAAGAAGAAGAAGAAGAAGAAGAAGAAGAAGAAGAAGAAGAAGAAGAAGAAGAAGAAAGGGAGAGAGAGGAGGAAGAAAGGAGGGTGAATGAGTGGGTAGAAGATGAGTACAGTATAAGGAGAGACTTTGGGAGGGATTTATTCGCATGCTCATAGCAAGGTGAAACGAACCGCAAGGCGATTTCGATAAGTGAGGTGCGACGACGAGGAAAATCCTACTTACGTCTTCAGAACTAATAAGATAAGGAGTGAAAACCGTTGGCCATCCACCAAATGATAGGCTTTGTTCTCTCCTACTTGGCTAACAGCCAGGAGATTCAGCAATGCCATATTTATTATTAGACCGAGTACTAACATGAAACTTACTTAAAGGCCCGGCACAGGGGCAACTGATGAAGGAGCTGCGCCTCCGCATTGGTCCATCAATGCCGGAAGGATGGTCTCTGGAATCAACACGGAATCGATCACGTGCACTGTGCCATTGCCGGCGAAGATAGCGTCTGCCTGCACCACTTCAGCCGTCATATCCAACTTCAGCGGACCAGAGGGAAGTGTGTACTCCAGCTGGATGGGCAGCCCAATGAGCGTGCTCACCTGGGTCAGCTTCGTCAGCTTGCTTGCTGTGAAATTGCCGTTGGGCAAGATGTGATACTTGAGGATCTGGCTGAGGTAGTTGTCGATTCCTTGTCCTGTCGTAACGCAGGCCAGTTGCGCCGGGTAAGCGCTGGAAAGCACCGCAAAAGCCGCCTCGGAGGGGGCGAAGACAGTCACAGGGCCCGTGGCGGCTATGCCCTTCAAGGATTCGTCAACCTTAGCGAGCTTCAGAAGGCTAACGAAAGTGGTGAGCCCATAGTTAGCCATGCTCGTCACCAGATCGCCGCCGGGTACCAACTGAGCTCTCACGGAGAAAGGAGAAACCAACATCATGACGGTGAAGACAGCCGCCAGGCTGCGGACGTACAAGGGCGCCATTTTCACGGGCAAGCCACAGAGAGAGAGAGAGAGAGAGAGAGAGAGAGAGAGAGAGAGAGAGAGAGAGAGAGAGAGAGAGAGAGAGAGAGAGAGAGGAGAGGAGATTGTGAAGAGGAGGAGTACGAAAGGCGGATGATGATGGCGGACTAGAGGTTGGAGCGTTGGGAGGAGGACAGTGGAAACTACCCGCTGCCTCTCTCGCTGGCTCTGACTCCTCTGAGTGCTCTCTTTCCCCCAACGTCACTTTATAACCTCTTTTGCCCCCCTGGCCCCCCGCCCCCTCTCTTTCTCTCTCTCACACACAAACACAAACACACACACACATAGAGTCGGAGTCGGAGTCGGAGGATGGTGGCATGGTTGCCATGGTTGAGTGGAGCTGTAAGGATGGCAGATCGAAGACCGCGGCCTTGAAACGAGAGGGGGGAGGGAGCCGCGAGGGGTGTATCGTTGATACGGGGCGGAAGGGATGGGAGACTGAAGACCACTGCCTCGGAAAATGGCAATGAAAAGAAAAGGAGGAAAAAGACACTGGCCGTTTTCTTTGGCAGATCCGGACTGCATAAGATCAAAGGATGATAGTGGAGCTCTTCGTCCTTTTCTTTTGTTCATTCAAATTTAATAATTTTAATTTAGTAATGACAACACAAGCGCGGCCAGGTCGGGCGGAGAAACAGGCAAGCAATGCTCAGCCGAAGTGAAAGCAGCTCCAAAAGACACAGGGACATTTTTCACAGAAACCCGCGGCCGAGAAAAAACTCGAGGCGGTCCTTCGCGACATCCGTTAAAATTGGAACGATACAGAGAAGATGCGCAAAAAAAAAAGAAGAACGAACCTCGAAGATGCGCAAAAAAAAAAGAAGAAAGAACCTCGACGCGTGAGTGTGCCGTAAGTAGCCCCAAGTCCCAACGCGAGTATGTGGCAAATGGTCCCTGTGTCAGAGTTCGGTAGGTTGGAGTGTGAGTGTGCCCTAAGTCAGTCGGAGTGTGAGTGTGCCCCAAGACACCGCATGTCCCAGTTTCAGTATGTCCCAAAAGGTGCCCGTGGGCCTGGTTGCACTACTCTCCAAGTTGGGCAAATAGGCGCCTACAGTAGTTACTTGCACTTACTCGCCAAACTTGGGGAATGAAAAATATGACAGACTGCTCGCCACACCGTTGACACAAGTTTGTGGTGAGTGTTTTTGGTTTCCCCGCCTGTGCACTGCGGTTTGTGGAGGGTAATCTTCAGACCTTTCCACAAAACAACTTTTCTGGACAGTGCAGGGCTTCACGAGAGGAGATCAGGTAGACAATTTTTGGCACAATTTTTAAAATTTTCCGTAGAAGAAATATAGTGGCGCAACCAGGCCTCCAGTTCTACACGATTCTCCTTTCTTTCACTCTCCTGTAGAAGAAATATAGTGGCCAGTAAATGGAACCAGGCCTCCAGTTCAACACGATTCTCATGTTTTTCTCTCCACCCGTAGGCCACGCATTGTGGCGGATGGCAAGTAGTGCAACTAGGCCTTGTGTCAGTCAGCCCTAAGGAGCTGATTGCCAGCGTAAGGTGCCGATCGGACATTACGTAAAAAGAGAAAAAACAAGAAAATGCCTAAAAAGAAGGCAACGAGTCGGACGGGGTGGAAAAACAAACTGGGACCCCACAGTTGCGGGTTCTGTGGGTCTTTCCCAACTACTGCGCCGGGTTTCTATGGGATTCTACGGAGATGGATGGACGTTCCCGTGGTCTGCCGTATGGCCTGGCCTCCCGATGTGGGTGACACAGACGTACCTACTGAGGAAGGCTGGACATAAAAAAGGCCGACACATTTTCACGACAACTTTCTCGGTAGGGGTAGGGGTCCTTGAGCTTTCCATTTTTTGTGCCGTCTTTGGGCCGTTCATCACGGGCTACGCGCCACGTACACATAATCCGAAAACATACCCCTAACAAATCGCCATGCCCTTGTTTCTTGGAAAGTAATGGGATCCACGTTTCTCAACAAAATCGCCTACATTACGCACTGTCGGATCAGAAGCTAAGCATGGACCAAGGAGCTGTCTGGCCGTAACTGCTGCCAGACACGTCCAAGAAATGTCGTCCCAGTACCCACTTACGAAAAGAAAGTTAAAAAAAGACATTCAAAAAAAGGGAATGAATCTTCCCCTAGAGCATAAATATGTACTCCGCCAGAATGTCCTGAGGAGTCATGCGCCTATCCATCTATCTATCTATCTATCTATCTATCTATCTATCTATCTATCTATGGGTCTCGTTAGACACTCCTAAAGGAATCCTAAAATTTTAGGACAGTCCTAAAGGTTTTTTAGGATTTCGTGCGTCGTGGTTACACGCATTCCTAAAAGACCATCGTTTAGGACCAGTCCTAAGAGAAAGTCGTAATTGTCCAGTTGATGTAGCTCAGTGGTTAGAGCACCGGTTGGAAATGCGCACTGTGGTATAAGGTTGCGGGTTCAAAACTCCGCAGCTTTGCGCATGGACACCGGCAGGGTGTTAGAGTGACGCACGGATGGACATACATCCCCTTGGGCTGACGCATGGTACTATTACAGACACTGCCTGCGCACCACCCAAGGGGTAGTCCTGGTTGTTGTATGCTGGGTCTTGACTATGCGTGGTGGGTTGCTTGACTTAGCTATTGATTGTTCTGAAATTCTCCCCTGTTCTGGCATTCCATACATTGGCATCAATTCAGAACTCAGCACATAAGATAGGGCATTGTAGTTACACAACACAGGGTGTGGGTTCGAGTCTGGCTAGAGACTTTGGGGCGGTTTCTTGCACAGACCGGCCCACCATTCATATGACAATACAACCCTACACATATATACAGACATATATACAGAACTCAATTGGGGCTTGGTGGGGGTCCGCACTACTGCTGGGGTTGGCTGGGATGAAGGCTTCGCGCTTGTCCCTGTCCAGCCTCAGTATCTAGAACCATGGCATATACACATACATGACTGGGGGTAGGCTGGGGTTTTCAAGGCTTCGCGCTTGTCCTTGCCTGGCCTCGGTATCGAGAACCATGGATAACACACAGATAGCACGTACACACATGACTGGGGCTGGCTGGGGCTCAAGGCTTCGCGCTTGGCCCTGTCCAGCCTCAGTATCTGACATCTGTAGAAAAAGGAAAAACATGCCAGAATACAATACATATATAGTATACACATGCCAGAATGGGGGTTGGTAGGAGAAGCAGACATAATACTAGAGCCTGGCGCCTGATGTACCCGAGTAACGTGGCTTGCTTGACTGTGCCTCAACTGGGCCTGGGAGGGGCTCAAGGCTTCGCGCTTGGTCCAGCCTAGCCCCGGTGCCTAGAACTACTGTCTTGGTGATAGTCCTGAGTAGTAATACTGAGGTAGGATGGTAGGGATAGGGGTGCGCTAGGAGAATTGCCGAGAGGATGGGTAAGGAGGTGGTCTTACGGTGAATAAGAGAATGTCAGGACAGCCAATAGCTGTGTCGGCAACCCCGTGTGTCCGGAGTCCGGTCTCTACAAMAACCGGGGCTTTAAAAAAAAAAAAAAAAAAAAAAAAAAGACAAAGTCGTAATTAAAAAGAAAAAAAGAAAAGAAAAAAACTCATGCTTCAGGGTTTCAGGCAATAGGGTGAACCAGGAGTCCAAGACAACGGTGCTATGCGCACGTCGCCACGACTCCGTCAAACGCGGGAATCCTAAAAATTTCAGTAGGTCAGGGGCTACTGAAAAAATTAGGACGAATTTGCCTGGGGAATCCTAAATTCTTTAGGATTCGTCCTAACGCCGTTTTCACATTTTCGATCTCGAAATCGCATTTAGGATCGCGTGCAACGACGATCCAATCCTAAAAACAGGCATTTTTAGGAGTGTCTAACGAGACCCTATATGTATATCATCAAACCGAGCTGCCCGGTAAAACGTAGGCAGCGAGCGAGAAGAGGACAAGAAATGAGGGGCCGTGACAAAGTGTTTATATATATATATATATATATAAAATGGGAATGAATGGTCCCCTCGAGCATGAAAATATACGCCAGCATTATGTACTGAGGAGCCATGCGCCTCTGTACTTGTATTCGGACAAGTTCTACGGAGGAGCCACGCCTAGGCACTTGCATTCGAACATGCGGGGTACATACGGGAAGGTTCTCTGGTAGCCATTTGCAGGGGGACATACGGGAAGGTTCTACCGGAGCCATTTGCAGGGGCACATACGGGAACGTTCTTCCAGAGCCATTTGCAGGGGGACATACGGGAAAGTTCTACCGGTCCGGAGCCATTTGCAGGGGTACATACGGGAAGGTTCTACTGGAGCCATTCGCAGGGGAACATACGGGAAAGTTCTACCGGAGCCATTTGCAGGGGGACATACGGGAGAGTTCTACTGGGTTGCAGGGTAATCAATGCTGGCAGTCCCCACAGTCACTGTTCTCACCTTTTCTCAGACATTCTCTTTTTTTTTTTAAGAGAACAGCCCGATCGGATGCTAGATGTGCTGATAAGAGCAGACACATCTAGCACCGTCGGGGAGGCTCCATCTATTGGTGGGGAGCAACACCTGCTGGAAACCGGGTCCAGCGTCCCTTTGATACATCGTACAACACATAGATTACTAGTAACAGTCATGAAGTCATATCTACGTGCCACCTGTCAATCCTACAAAAGATGTGCACGATCAGCTGGATGAGCACGCGGCAGTCCATATTCTGATGAGCAGCATTGATTGCCCTCCACTGAGGGGATTAACTGCTCACCCCTATGAAAACCGGATATCCACCCCAAAACCCGTATCATCAGCTATCACTAATTGCAACACCACAACGGGGAGGGGTATTTGGAGTGGGAATTCACAAATTCAACTATAAGACCACCTGCCCCAGTGCCCCCCCCGAGTCGTCAAGATCTTCACGACTGTTACTCCCCACCAATAGATATGACTTCACGACTGTTACTAGTAATCTATGTGTTGTACGATGTATCAAAGGGACGCTGGACCCGGTTTCCAGCAGGTGTTGCTCCCCACCAATAGATGGAGCCTCCCCGATGGTGCTAGATGTGTCTGCTCTTATCAGCACATCTAGCATCCGATCTCTTTTCTGTGTATGGGACGCTGGACCCGTTTTCCTGCAGGTGACGCTCCCCACCAATAGATGGAGCCTCTCCCCAGGTGTTAGTGGTGTCTGCTCTTATCAGCAACACTAACACTGGTGGGGGTGTT